AGATTATAAATCAAGTTAGTGCCACGTTCATGCCAGCACCAGAAGTCGCTTCTCGGTCCAACATTCTATAATCAATTACGTATTCCTTCTCACAGAAGAAAAAGGTGATGAGGGCCTTAAAATGTTGACATCACACACAGGATAATGTGCAATGTTCCTTTGCCTCCCACCTTTGGGAGACTCTGCAACCACAGTACTGCAGCAGGAAAAACAGGTCAGAGTACATGGTCACATGTGAGGCTTTGGACGTTTGAAGAATTGAGGCCTTTTTGCTGAGAGAAATGTAAAGTCGAAAAAATGCATTTTAAGCACAGTAGTAACAGGGTTAGATTAGTATTTCCTAAATGATAGAGCTACAGTGGAAGGGTTCAAGGATGGTGCAGGGTGGGAATGTGGGTTTTCCTTGGTATGCTGTTGGAAGAGTCTAGGTATAATGTCAAGATTAGAATTAAAAGATTGTGAAGAAGTATAATTGGCATGCTGGGGAAATGATAGGTGAGAGCAAAAGCAATGGGAAAGTCTCCCAAAATTATGGCTTGGAAAACAGGATGAATAGACACCAGATGAATAACCTGTTTATATTTACAGCTCCTTCTAGGTGAAATTTTTTTTAGATTTGGCCTCTTGTCAAAGTCAGCAAGGCAGGGTGAGGGCTGAAGTAGAATGGGTCAAAGCTCTTTGGTGCTAGTCTTTCTGTTGCTCTCACCCTGCTTCTGGAGCACAGTGTGTTGTGGTTGTGCACACAGGCATGGGTGAATAACTATACATGTGAGGAAGCATCTGCTCCTTTGGTCATCTTCCCTCAGTTAACAGCTCTGATACAAAACTATTTGTCAAAACAAAATTCATTTCTGAGAGCACCATTTTACATGCACCTGTGATCTGCCAAAAAATGTATTTTCAAAAAATAGAATAATCCAATTGTACTTCTTAAGAGTTCATTAAAGTACAAGGCCAACTCTATGCCGATCCAAAGACAATCTTTGTCTCTCTCTCCTTCCTTCCTGTTCTTTCTTCTTTATAAATAAAAATGTATGCATATTATAGGGCACATGAGCCTGACAGAGAGAGGAGAGAGTCAGGGAGAGAGAAAGTAAAAAAGCATCTCACCTCAGGGGATTTGGCCACTACACAAGCTCTTCTCCTCCATTCTCTCCTCTGGATCTTGGGCATGACTGCACATGAGACATGTGTTTTTTAAAGCTGCTGGTCCAAGACTCAAACTGTACAGAAGGCATGCGGGATCTAGCCACCTTAACCACCCATACCACCTGCTGGTCCCAGCAGATGTTTCTTATACTGGTCAAGTATCACAACAGGAGTGATAAGAAAACACTCAATGGAAAGTCTGTATAATCCCCATTGTAAGTTAGAAGCAATTTTGGATTCAAATTTCAGGCTCCTTCTTGATTTTGTATTTATTTATTTAGAGAAATTTTTGTTATAGGGTCTGTATGCTTGCCAGGGACGCAGAAAGTGAGAAATCACCTCAGGGAGGATGGCCATGTTGCAGTTCCTCTCCTCTATTCTCCTCTCGGGATTTTGGGCATATGTGCACGTGCCTGACATGAGTTTCAAACCACTGGTTCTGGGATTTGAACTAAGGTCAACCATGTGGGAGTCCAGTGCCTTAACCACTGGATAAGTGCTGCCCTCCATCCCACTGATTTTTTTTTCCTTTTTCTGGAGAGGTTTTTGCTATAGGGCACATGTGCTCGCCAGACAGAGAGAGACAGAGAGATAGAAAGCGAGAAATCACCCCCAGAGGGGATGGTCATGCCACAATCCCTTCACCTCCATTCTCCTCTCGGAATCTTGGGCACGCACGCACACACGCCTGGCGTGAGTTTAAGCCGAGTCCAGGACTCGAACTGTGGTTGACTATGTGGGAGTCCAGCGACATAGCCATTATGCTAACTGCTGGTCCCAACCCACTGATTTTTTAAAAAATATAGCTAGGATCGGGAACCAGCAGTTAGCGTAATGGCTATGTCGCTGGACTCCCATGTAGTCGACCGTGGTTCACGTCCTGGACCTGGTGGCTTAAAACTTACGCCGGGCACGTGTGCGTGTGTGCCCAAGATCCCGAGAGGAGAATGGAGGAGAAGGGATTGCGGCGTGACCATCCTCTCTGGGGGGTGATATCTCGCTTTCTGTCTCTATGTCTCTCTCTGTCTGTCTGGCGAGTGCACGTGCCCTATAGCGAAAATCTCTCCAAAAAAAAAAAAATATATATATCTAGCTAGGATTGCAGTTGACTTACATATGGGGATAGACATCCTAGGAAGAAGTTGATAAAGGAAATGGATTACAGTAACTGTTTTTTTTTTTTAAAAAACAAACAAACAAACAAAGAAACAAAAAACAACACACAACATAGGCTGAGCAATTCTGCAAGATGTATCATCTAAGCACAGAGACATGGTGGCTTGTGAAATCTGAAGGGAATGTAGACAAGGGAAGTTGTCCGGGATGGTGAGACTCCACGGAATTCCTACATGATTACTGTTGCTTCCATTTCTCTCACTGTGGCAGTGAGTGTCTCACTGTGGTTCCATCCATCCATCCTGGTGCCAAGGAAGGAGCCAGGTGTGGCCACACAAGTTGAGGTTGCAGGATCAAGGCTGGGCTGCATTCTAGCTCCAGGGGATGAAAAGCAGGGAGCATTTCACCTGAAGGAGGGCTATTCTCTGGACCAGAGACAATAACATGGACTTTTTTTTTGTAAAGAGAGATTTTTGCTATATTGTGCTCGCTGGAGAGACAGAAAGTGACAAATCACCCCCTGGGAGGGATGGCCACACCGTAATCTCATCTCCATTCTCCTCTTGGGATATTTTAGGGATGCATGAACGTGTTTGGCGTGAGTTTCAAGCAGCTATGTCTGGGACTTGAACTCCAGTTAACCATCTGAGAGTCCAGCAACGTAATCCTTATGCCATCTGTTGGTCCCTACATGGCGATTTTTTCCAGGCTTGGTAACACCTCGACTGTTCCTGCAGATCCTCATGTGATTAGCATTGGACTGCACATTAATAGTAGGGTGGGCCATATGCCTTCAGGTTTGCAATTTGTCTGCTGCTTTTTTGTTTCTTTTTTTACAAGAATTGTACATTCTTGTTTCCTTACAAACCTGATCTGAGCCACAGAACAAATGGAGACTTTTTTTATTCTTTTGGTAAGGCAAACAATTCTCTGGAATGAAATTCTTGTTTTTGAAAGTATAATATTTGAAAGTATAATATTCACACACTGAGTAGTAATGGTCAAATAAAACACTCTCAGATTGCTTAAGAGTTTAATATGTAAAAGCCGGTTTTATAGATTAGTGAAATTTAGCTTTAAGATGATTGGATTCGGGAATGTTTAATAGTATTTGACTAATCGCTAAATTTAAATTTTACATTTGTCGATGCTGTGGGCAGGAGCTATGATTCACATCTGATCAATGGACTATGGCAAAGGTGGCAGAAGCAGCTTTCTCATTCGTTGGGTCACATGAGACGCTGTCTTGCTAGCAGACCCAGTTTAGAGTTTCTCCTTGTTTCTGGCTTTGAAGAAGCAGACTGCCGAGAGTCCGACAACCACTAGGAAATGAATCCTGCCAACCAACCGAGAGAGCATGGCAGGGAGAGGCTCCTTCCTCAGCCCAGCCCCCAGATGACACCCAGCCCCGGCTTTTGGCTTATCCGTTGCCTGCAGTCTCACAAGGGACCCGGCAAAACCATGCCCCGACTCCTGGACCACAGAAATGGAGATAATAAATGTGTCTGCTCCCGGCTGCCAAACTGTGGTGATCTGTCATGCAACAATAAAGAACGGCTCCGGATCTGGGCTCTAGAAGTGAGGTCCTGCTGCCACAGATGCCTACATATGTGGGCATGGCTTGGGAGTCAGGCACTGGGCAGAGACTGGAAGAATTCTGAGACACATAACAGAGAAGAAAAAAAAGCTGAAAACATAAAACCTCCTTGATGACGCCCAATTTTATACTAACAAAAGTGTTTATGGCTAAGGATAAGAGGAACATGACAACAACAGATCTGGTCTTAAGCTCGATGGCGATGACTAAGCAGATCCTGGTGCAGGCATCTTTGGGATGCCACTTACTGTTTGGGTATATAAATAAAGAGGTAATTTTCTGAACATATATTTAAAATTTATTATATTTCTTTCATGAGAGAGCACAAGAAACAGGCACCCGCAAGGAGGTCTCATAGCTCCATAATCCCTTCCCTCAGCGTTCCAGTCAGCCAGGATCATGGGTGAGTGCACACAGCGTATTTCTGGTTAACCCAGGATCCAAACCCCCATCAACCATGTGCCTCCAGTACTGCAGAGTGGCAGGCACTATTTGTGACACCATGACTGGGCCTGAACATATTTTTGACTGGCCACATCATGAGTAAAGTGATACTTTGGTTCCTAAAATGAATACTTAGTATTGACAGCAAGGATAAGCTGATTCTCCTTCAGAGATAAATGATATAAATTTGACTCAACAAGAACATTTATATGTATATATATATACACACATGCACACCCATAAACCCTAAAATTTAAAAATGAAATTCTCTAGTGCTGTTTAAAGCCTTCATAGGCAACCAAATATTTATATAAATGTACGGATTTTGTTCCCTTCTAATCTCTTGAAGGGTCCTTACAGCATTTAGTGTATACATTATTTATTTTTTTTTAAATCTTGTAAAGACTGAGTAACTCAGGGCCAGCAGGTGGCATGGTAGTTAAGAGTGATGGACTCCCATATGGCCAACTACCATGCGAGTCTCAGGCCTGGTGGCCTGCTTTCTCATTTTCCCTCTCTCTCTCTGTCCTTCTCTGATCAAATTAAAAATAAATCAATAAAGTTAAAATAATTCTGTGAAAAAAGAAATAAACGCTGGGTAACTCTATAATGCAGTGAATGAGCCTCTGATGTCATGCCAGTGTTAACTCTGGGCTAAACACATACAATACAGAAAGTATTAAACAGAAAATTGGAGCTTTCAATGCATTTACCATTTTTATTTCGCTATGCAGAAACATACATTCACCATGGGTTGTGATGCAGTTGACAGTGTAATGGAGAATATATCTTTTTGAAGGCTATTTATAACTAAACACTAAATAGTTTTAATTACAGTGGAAATTCTGTACAGTTTAAGGCTTGGTTCTGAACTAGATTGTAAATATGGACCAGATTTGGAAATAAAACTTTTTTTCAAGTAAAAGAAGAAAAATTAATTAAAAAACACAAGGAAAAAAAACGAAAGAAGAAAACAAAGCAACAGAAGCCCAACAGGTTTTCCTGGAGTGAAATTTCATAATGTTGTAAACTAATAAAAATACAGGTTTTCTTCCCAAAATAACAACAATTTACATATTTAGGACTTGTTAGGAAACTCTGAGAATGTCCTGGATTGAACGCAGACCAAAGCAGACAACAGGAAAAAAAAATCACATTAATATGCTAAAATCAGTACTACCTTATAACAAATTAAATTAGATACACAAAGCAAGATTGTAAGCATTAAATATTTCCAGAGGGTCAGAAAGTCATTACTGTTTATGGGTGAGAGTAAGAAAACCAGATGAAACAAGGACAAGATTCAAGTTGTTTACTGCATAAACTCGGTTATTGGCACATCTAACCTGGGATAAATCTGACACACTGGACCTATACAGCTTCTAGCATTTTAGGGTAATCTTCATTTATCTGTAAACAAAAGATCTGTCACCTAAGAAATTGCAATTTTGTTTTGACTTGAATAATAATAAACTATGAAAGGCATGAATTGTTTATGTGTTACATGAAATCACTGTTTATATTGCTGGTTATGAACGTGCAGGAATAGCTGAAAACTTAGACATTTTGTGAAAATTAAAAATGCTGCTCTTTTGTACTTTTATCGTTGCTTCATGCAGTATCAGTTTAGTGATGCTGATTCAGATTGCTTTATTATGGGAAGATCTCTCTGCCAGTGTCTTTATTAGTGGTCAAGGTCAATTCTTCTGGATTGAAATTTTCCACGGACAGATACAAGTCAGTTGAGTTAGAAGAAGGAACTCCAAATAGGCTCTGGTTTTCCTAACGGTTTGCATGACTGGATTCATGTGCAAACTAAGTTATTCCTGTAGAAAAGAGATTTGGTTAGTTACTCATTTGAAAACATCCGAGAGTTTTTCTCAGATCAAAGTCACAAAAAATGTGTCTTGGGGGTTAAAATGCTCTTTTGACACGATACTGTAATACCCCAGACTAAGTCATGGCTTTTCCTTCGATAATGGCTGATGATAGGCTTTTCCTTAAATAACATCACTCAAGTGGCTGAAGCTCACTGAAGAAATCTTATTTTTGCCTTCCATCTTCCAAAATATATTATAATCAGAATATAATGAGTGATTTTTATATTTCTTTTTTTCTTTGAGAGATGCTACTTATTGATGTATGCTTCTTAATGTTAGAGACTTGTAAAAGTTTTACCACATCGCCAAGTGTGCAAGTAGCTTAATTGTTGCATTCAGCATTCAAAACCCTCTCAAAGATGCGCATGGCCCCATGCGTTCTTGCATGGCAGGTTAGTAAGCATGACTAATCTGTGCATGGCGCTGGCCAAACTGCAGTTGGAAAGGCATGCACGTTCTGGAGGAAAGCAGGACCACAGAACTGTACTTCCGCCTTCTCCTGAGACACAAAGCTACTCTAAGAGGGAAAGTTATTCCAAAGAATGAAGAAATATAAAACATCCAAAAAAGAAACAAGTGCTCAGGTTTCAGATTAAAAAGTCAAACAGAACAGAAAAAAAATGACATAAACACAACAAAAACCAAAAACACATGAAAGCATAAACACGGCTATAACCAAACACACTGAAGAGAAAGCTTATGATGGGATAAAGCTGCCATTGGAAGAAAAAAGGAGCACATCTTATTTTCCTAGTATTTGGAACACATACGGACTGCATCTCTCAAAACACAACTGCTTGAGTTCTGATTAGGCCATACAATGGGTAAAATCAAATTTGATGTTTCAAATTTGGGTAGTGAAGAGTGCAAGGCATGGATTAAAAGGGGGACAAAATGAGACCATTCATGCAAGCACTCTGCCTTCCTTTATCCTCCAGCTGGCGGTATATGCAAGAAATCTGTAATATGGAAGCTCCAAGCGTAAGACAAACTGGCACAGCCAACCAATTCACCGTTCTTTGGTTACCAGCCCTACAAATGCCAATGAGAGGAAAAGGAAGGAAGGAATTGGGTGAAAGATGGGAGGGAAGTGCCCCATGCCACATGCTAGCCTCAGCAAGCCTAGAGAATCGGCATCACCTCTTACCTCTGGTCAATCCTCTCCATCCTCTGGTGTGATCTCTGTCTCTTTATGGACCACTACTTTGGTCACTGACATGTCAGGGTGCTGCTCTTTGGCCTCTTTAATTGCCTGAGCCAGCGCCTATCCCCGGGAAATCACAGAAGGGCAAAAACAAAAAGGAGGTGGAACATGCACAATCAGTAGCAAGGTGGAGACTTATGAGCTAGATCTATATCCACAATTTACAAATGAGGTACAATGGTTACAAAAGGAACTGTACATCTGATATAGGAAAGTTAATTTGGAAACTTCTGGAATACATGCTGGACCAGAAGAATAGCATTGGGAATAATAGGGCCAATGAGATTTTCTCTGTCTCTCTGCCAGGGTATCTAGCATCACACATACTACCTGGTCATGGTCAATGTCTGCATCTCCTGTGATGACTATTCGCTTCTCAATTCTCGTCTCTGAAATGCCTCCTTTCACAGTCTACAAGCAACAAAGAAAAGCATTATGTATTTACTCACTAGAAGGAAAGATCATTATACAATGGGAGGAAGTGGCAGAAAATGTTTTTAGTAACACCATTCACTCTTCAAGAGCAGAAATAAAATTCGATGGTACTTATTAACATTTTTAATTTCAGAAGCAAGGACAGAGTGGGATCCTTTGGATTTGGCTGGCCAGTGTTTCTGGAACATCTTTTACATATCAAGTACTAGGGTAAGCATTAAGCACAAAAAATGAGAATGCATTTCTTTTTTTTGTAAATTAGCCAGAGGGTGCATGTACTTGCGAGAGAAAGAGAGAAAGCCCTCCCCTCCCCATGGGGTAGGGTCAAACTGCAACCCGTTCTCCTCCATCTCTCCCTCCTTTTGGGAGTTTGGGCTTACACACACACCTAGCATGTTTCTCAAGCTACTAGGTCTGAGACGTGAACAACTTGGATGGTCATGTGGGATCCAGCTGCCTTAACCACCAAGCATGAGCTGGCCTGAGTATTCATATCTTCACACTGAAACTAGCTCACGGAAACAAGTGCACCACAACCCTGGAAGCTGTTAAAGCTCCCTTTGTAGCTATCAGTAACCCGAAAGTTAAGGAACTGTTTGCTGGTGCAGCCCACACGGTAACATTTCTGAATGGGTGACTTTCTCTAACTCTCAAGGAATGCCTTTCCCCCCTTAATTGATTTCTTTCCTGAGTAAGAGACGGAAAGAAAAGACAAGCACCTTCTACAGGATCCCATGCTGTACGACCCCCATCTTCCTAGGCGGACAGATTCAGTGTGTGCACTTGGCATCCCTCGGTCAACTGGGGAACTGAACCCGTGATCTTTCATACGGATTCGGTTCTGTTTGAGCAGTACATTCCTGCTATCCCACCAAGCTAGCCCACCACAGGGAATGCTTTTATCTGTCCCACTGTACTTACTTTGGTGATATGTGTGGTGGTTGTGGTGCTGGTGGTTTCAGATGTGATCGTCTGTGCGCTCATCAGCACGCCAGGCTCCAGATCAGCACCAGGATCGACCTGAGCAAGCACAGGGATAGACACCTCATCAGCCTGGTGTTCATACGTTCTCCACAAAAGTCTGCTGTGCTATTTAATGCTGACTTAGTTAAAGTCTGCTGTGCTATTTAATGCTGATTTAGTTAAAGTCTGCTGCGCTATTTAATGCCTATTTAGTTACATCCCGCAATCACCATTCCCTTCAATCAGAATCTGGGAGCTGCCACCAAGAGGAAGAACTCAGTACGGCCAGAGTGGTCATGACAACACCAGGACTTTCGAAATGTGAACCGAGTGACTGTTTTTCTCTATCTGTGACTAGGGAAATAGGTTTTGGAGCCTTTTCCTACACTTCTAGATACAGAAAGACCTGGTAAAGTCCTGCTGCTCCAAGATCAGGAATGAAGTAATAACGATTGCATTGCTCTGAACAGAGATGTCTAACTGCTGGATTCTGTAAGTCTTATGGATTAAATATCCTACAGTTAAAGTCATGCACTAGGCCATACAAGGAGGTAGGACAGGAAGTGCCAGAGCTCTGGTCTTCGCTGACTCGCCTACCTGTGAGGACTCATACGTGATGGTTTTTGTTTCGGTGTGAACTACTGGCACTTCCTTGGTAGACATTTCTAGCTTCACTCCTCCCGGAGAAATACTGCCAAAACTGATGGTTTCAGTCTTCACAGTTGATGACTGTACCAATGGGAAGTAAGCAATGTGGCTGTTAGAGTTTGCACAAACACACTTTTGTTTTTCCCCCTTCTTCTGTGTTGGCTGTCAGTGCAGGTTAGTACAAAATAATGTTTATATAGTACTTCAGAGGTGAGTTGGAGAAAGAGGTATACAACACATAAGAAGGGCCTTCAAAAAGGTCATGGAGTGGAACCAGCAGTTGACATGATGGCTGTGTCGCTGGACTCCCATGTGGCTGACCACGGTTCGAGTCCCAGACTTGGTGGCTTAAACTCATGCTGGGCACGTGTGAGTGCATGCCCAAGAGGCCAAGAGGAAAATAAGGAGAATGGATTGTGGCATGCTTATCCCCTAGGGGATGATTTCTCACTTTCTATCTCTCTGTCTCTCTCTGTCTTTCTGGTGAGCACACGTGCCTTATAGCAAAAACTTCTCAAAGAAAAAAAGTCATGGAAAATGCATACAATGAAAAAAGCTAAGCATGGATTTATACAAGTTTTGCACCCAAATTTGTACACTAATTCCATTCTTTCTACAAACATTTTGAAGTCTCCCTGTATATGCAATAAAGTCTAGCATCTTTAATATGGAATACTCTAGATAAAGGAAAGTTGTTATTATTATTATTATTATTGTTTTGCTATAGGGCATGTGCACTCACCAGAGAGGTAGAGAAAAAGTGGAAAAGCACCCCCCACCCCAGGGGCGATGATCAAGCTGTGATCCCTTGTCTTTTTTCTCCTGGCATTGCTTTTTTTTCCCAAGCTGCCAGGTCCAGGACTTGAGCCATCAGTTGGCTATGTGGGCTCCAGCTGCTTTAACCACTACACCACTAGCTGGCCCATAAAGGAGAATATTTTTTAGGAAATTAAAAAAAAAAAACCCTATAAATAAGTTTTTTTTTTTTTGCTTTTTAGACAGAAGAGACAAGTAGTAAAAAATTAACCTCCTATATATTTTAAGAATATTAATAAAAAGGGATAAAAAATAAAGTTCTGGGTATGCCTCTTTTCTCTCTCATAGAATAAATAAATTAACTTAGAAAAATAAAGTTCTTGGGGCCAATGGCCCAGTGGTAAACACAATGTGCTACGAGGCTGACCCACATGGGATGGTTCTGTGTTCAAGTCCAATGACCTCCCTGACTACATCAGGTACACACATGTCTGTGATCCAGGGATGGATAAGGCGGAAGGTGGACTGGAGCATCGAGATCCTATTGGAGTGCTGTTTCTCTGTCTCTGTTTCTCTTGCTCATATTAAAAATAAAATAAAATAAAGAATAAAGCTCTGCATTTGATATCTGAGTGAGCAATTTTTGGTCCTTCTGGATAAGTACAAAAAAATATATATCTGAGGGCAACTCCATAGACTAGTGGCTAAGGGAGCTGAATCCCACATGGCTGACCATAGTTTGAATCCCACCCCTGGAGGCTTGAAAAACATGCTGGGCACATGTGCATGTGTGCTTCAAATCCTGACAGGATGGAGAAATGGAGGAGAAGGGATTGTGGCATGACCATGCCCCAGTAGGGGGTGCTTTCTCCTTCTTTCTGTTTCTCTGGCTCTCTCTGGCAAGTTCATGTACCCTCTGATAATTAAAGACATAAAATTTATGTAATTTCCTAATATCTAGGCTGACTACGTACTTGCCAAGGTTGCTGCCAACTGCAATAATTTCAATGGGAGTAAAAACTAGTATCTGTAGCTATACATTATTAATATCAACAGGTATGTTTACACATGACCCACAAGCTAGAAAACAGCATGGAGACCCAATTGCTATGCAAGAAGGAAATAAGAGGAGAAACAAACTGCACAGAGAACGGTATAAAGTAAAACCTAGCTCCACCTTTACATTTATTTAAATTTTAGAACATTGCATATCAGTTTTACCTTAGTGTTAAAAATAACATTAGCTACTAGTTACCTCCAAATGAGGTTTTTGTTCCAAAGTTTCGGAAACATGGATAGTTGCACTCAGCTCTTCTTCTTGTGCCTGGGATGCTGTGGTTGTATCTTTTGATTGGAGTACAGATCTCTCGGCCTCCTCCCCTCTCTCCTCTTTAGCCCCCTCAATCAGAGCAGAGCCCTCTTTCGTCTTAACACTAGACACATCTGTAGGTGTGGGCTGTGCTGCAGCATCCACGTCATCCCCAGCGGTGTAAGAAGCATCCCCACTTGCATGCACATTCATCACATGTCTCTCCTCCACCAACACAGTTTCCTGTACCACCTTCTCAGTGCTAAGTGGCTGATGGTGTGGGCTGGGTTCTGTCTCTGTTCCACTGGACTCTGTCTTGGTTTCCATTTTCTGCATGGGAAAAGATTATAGTGTCAGTGTGACTTTCCATAAAACTAAGGTTTTTTTTTTTTTTTTAAAGTCGCCATTCACCAGGATGACTAAAGCCAACTCAAGTACTCATGAGCAGAAACAGTGGCAGAAAATACAAATTAACTTTCTCTCCTCCCACTAGAATCTTTGATGCATGCCCCTACTGCCTCCTCTCCCCACGAGAACCTGTGTTGCTACTCCAGGATATCCGCAAAACAAACAGAATACAAAATGCAATTAAAAAACAAAAACTGAAAGCAGCACATTCACACTGGTTTTGGCTGCTTTCTTAGACCAAATAGGTGAGATAAAATGATTTTAAGAATTAAATGCTATTACAATGTCTCAATATGACCTCCTTCTGAATATCTGAAGAACAATCTTGAAATGGAACTAAAGGCACATGAGACACATGCCAAGCAGGCACAAAGCACAATAGATGAAAACATCTTCAAGGCGTTGAAGGCAAAGCCACCTGGGTGCAACACACACACACACACACACACACACACACACGAAAAGGCATACAGCAAGGCAAAGGGGCAGTTAGAAACACTAAGGATAGAAGCAAAGAGCCACCTGAACCCAGCTTTGAGAAGTGGTAGTGACCCCTCCTATGAATTCTGTTGGTTTTCGCGCAGACTCTAATAAACTGAGGATTTCAGAGCCATCCATGAGCTTTTCACCAGAAGACTGCTTGGTCTGAGTGAAGAGAAAAATGTAGAATCAAGCACGAGAGAGAGACATGTGTGCAGGCACATACACATTCACAGCTTGTTAGACAAAATTCTAGGCAGAGGAAAAGGGGCAAAGGAATGAAGGGATCAAAGAGACAGTTTGGAAACGGAAAAGAATGGGAAATAAAATAGCAAAGTGGGGTGACCATGAGCTCTGGTTTGCTAAAGCGGAGAGAGTTATTAGGATTAGGGTGGCGCCGACTCAAGCAGATCATTTTTTTCCCCTTCATTGCAAGCCACAGCAGCACTATCACATCTCAGGAACGGGGAGCTGGAAATAAAACCGAAAATGTTTTAATGCTTACTTTGGACTGCGCTATTGATTTAACCATGAAAAAATAAAAAAGCTGGGTTGGCTGCTCTCAACATAAAGCCAAACAGCAAGAAAAACAAAAAGGTTTGGGGTGGAAGGGCACTGCCTCAAAAAATGTCATGCCAGAATCTCAAGCTGTGGCCCCAAGGCCAGCCTCTGGTTACCACCACTCGGGACGCTGCTGACTCGGTGACGTAATGAGCTGTAGCAACGGTGAAGGCCGGCTCCTGTGAGTACCTCCACTCCGACAGGCTCTTCCTTCGAGGACCAAAGAGTCCCACTTTCAAGACCTCACTCTCTGGCACCAGCTCTGTCCTGCTGAGCCGTCTACTCTCCGGGCCTGGGTGGACAGCTATGTCCTTTCCCAGCTTTGGAACCTTGAGGTCATCTTCTTCAGGACTCTGCCGCCGGGACTCGGCTTCCTTGATGGGCGCCAGGGATTCGGACAATTTCCGCCTGGGTGACTGGACCTCGGGTCCCCTCTTAGATCTCTCATCAGTGACAGCTTCCAGGACTTCGTATTCTGCCAGGCCAGGAACAACCTTCACTGTCTCTGATACTCCTTTTTCCATTTTCTGAAGAGCTGCCAGTGTGGAAGGTGACACCACTTTTTCTGTCTCTTTAGTTTTCCCCGTCATGGTCACGATTCTTCCTGAGACGGTGTCATAGGATTTTCCTAGGGTGTATATTTTCTGTCTGTTTTCTTCTTTCAACTGCAAGTCTTGGGCCAAGTCGTCGAAGCTATGCATTTCAATAGTGCTAGATTTTAACATGTCAGCTGGGATGTCACCAGTTCTACTGCTCACGGTCACCACCTTGTAAGTCACAATCTTTTTCGAATCACCATCAACTACCTCAGTGGGTATTTTTTCTACAATAACCCAATCCTCTGTGCCCTATATTTGAAATATAAAAGCTACATTAGAAATTCTGAAGGTATCTCATTTCTAAAATAAGAATCCTCTAAGAAAATCAGGGTCAGAGCTACACACAGGTCTGTGATGTTGCTGCCCAGGGCTGATGTCATTATCTAATGATCATGGGCTGCAATCTCCTCTCTGAAATTTATAAACTATAACTTTTAACTAGGAATACATTCTGCAGGTAGACTTACAATTCCAGATTTCTTTCAATAGGAACATACCTTGGTGGTAAGTTTTGCAAGAAACACGTTTGATCTTATCTGTACCTCTGGATCATTTTGTATTTTAAGATTAAGAAATATTCTTGAAGTTGTACAAGCTGTTAGCTTTTTGTGTGTGGACATAAAAGGAGTCTTCCATGTGAAATATAGTAGAATACTTCCTATTTTGTTGTTCTCACAAAGAACTTTCCACCCTTCTGTAAATTTCTATAAATATAATTTTCCATGTTTACAACTTGCGCTTCCTAACAAAGGGAAGTAAATCCACTCTAGCACTTATTATTCAATAAATATTGAGCGTGCCTGCATCTGAGGCATTATAATTAAGTAGTTTCCACTGACAGGACATGGTTGGAGCCTTTCATAAATACATCGTGATCTGTAAAGTGTTCCACTCTTATTTACAACTGACGTTCACTGTCTCAGTAGTTTTTTTTCCCCATTTTCCTTAGCTCCAGTAAGACAGAAAAAATGAAAGTTAAGAAACCTTTGTGTTCAGGGAGGCTAACAGGATGTGACGTATGATAGCTAACTAACCTAACAAATGAGAGGGAAGAGGAATTGAACCCAAAGCAGGTGAGCATGCTGGTTTATACAGTACACTATGATGTTTTCTACTTTCATTTTAATCATAGCCCGAAAACTTACATCTAGAAACATGTGTGCCTTAATAAAAACAATGGTAGACTGAGCGATATGCTAGTGCTGTTCAATGAAACGAATGGAAAAAATAACCTCTAGGGTTGATGGGACAGTTTTCTGGAAAATTATTTGACGAGACGTAACCACAGAGTCGGCAGAGTCTCCTTCCTGCATTTTCTTTATCACACTTGGCTAGTGAGAAAACCAATAAAAGTTCAGAACTTGAAAAATCAGTCAGGGTCATCTAAATTAGCATCATTCTATGAGTAAAAACAAGCAGTAAAAAGTTTTGAAAAAATTATCATTAGAAAGTATAACTGCAGTGCTTTGATGACAATATACAGATATATTCACCCATGAATAGAAGCCATAAAAAAACAGAGCACAACTGGCAACTAAAACATTAAGAAATTCTCTTTTCCCTTCCCCAGAATTTGAACCATGTGAGAATCTTTAAAATATGACAATTTATAGATTTACCTTAGTTTTAACAAGATACACTTAAAGAGGAAAATAAAAGCCAAAGGCATTTTCATGACGCTGAGTCTGAGGAGCAATTCTTTGGGAGAAATCTTTTATGTTTGCTTTTTACCTGAGACTCAAGGAATGGTGACGTTCCTTGATGTAAAAATATAACTTTTTCAGAAATCTCTCTTTCTTCTTTGGTCTGTTTGAATAAATGGGGTTGGGTTGGAGAAGAGGAAGTAGACAGTTTCCAAAAAAGCAAGTTAGGAAGAGAATCTTTTATTGTACTATCTATTTCGCAATATTAATTAATTTTTCCCTTCAGAAGTAAATTATTTTTTTTAATTCATAGATGGTCTGAAACCATCTAAAAATTTAATAATGATTTCCAAAGAGTAATAACGTTTGTTTCTGCAAGCTCAGAACATGCAAAGTAACATAAAGGGTTTTTAGCATTTGAAATAGTATTTATATTAGTTATCTATAATTCCCCGAAAGTGAGTATTAATAGAAACATGAGAGGCAGCCAGGTGGCACGGCGGTTAAGGTGGCTGGATCCCGAATGACTGACTGTGCAGTTCATGTCTTGGACCTGGTGGTCTGGAAAACATGCCAGGTATGTGTGCACGTGTGCTTAAAATCCTGAGAGAAGAATAGAGAAGGGAATGTGGTGTGGTCACCACCCCTGACGCAGGTGCTTTTGCGCTTTCCCTCCCTCTCTGTCTCTTTCTCTGTCTCCCTCTGCTGAGACCACATGCCTTATAGCAAAATTTTTAAAAATTTAAAAGTAAAAAAAAAAAAATTTAGGAATAAATTGTCACTTCAATTTCCCAAGTTTGCTTGTATTCTCCATTCACGTGCTGCTTGTTATAGTGAAATAGAGACAAGGTGACTGTATTATCCACTGATTTGAATAAGCCCACTTAGATTGATTTCTTTATTGTCCCACAAATAAACAAAAAAATACACAGGTTATAGTTTTATTTAAATAGAAATGGTGAATCATTTTTGAAAATTTATGTGAATTTTATAACATGATAAATAATTTTTGGGAGTCAATTTCAAAATATTTTGTTGAAAAGTTAAGTATATCCACTCATACTTTAAGATATAAGGGTCTTCAACAAGTTCATATATATTATGAAAATACTAAGCATTTCAAAAATATTTTGCACTAAAATAAACTCATACTTTAATTTCATTTTCCATAGACTTTTTAATACCTTTGTATAAATTAAGAAACACTAAAGTAAATAATTCATGTTAGAACCTTTTTTTTAACCTTTTAAATATATTTTATTCTTTTTAGTATTAAATAGGTATAATTCAAGTGATAATATATTAGCTAATAAGTCGATCTCTGCATAGCATACACCCTTATAGAAGGGGAACTGAAAGGATATTTTGGAACAGTAACTTAAAAAACAATTAGGCGAAGTTCAAAGTTCCTAGTAATAAAACTCTTAAAATAAATCTTATCATTCTAAAAATATTGCGTTATGAGAACTATTTAAAATTCCTGTCTGTTGTCTACAAATTTATTATCATTGACCCATGAGAAGTTGTAGGGGAACATCTGGATTATTCTGTAGGATCTACAGACAGATTTTGATAATACCATTCTCACATGAGCTTTTCTAGTGAGAGACCAATAACCATTTCCAAAAGGGGAAAACAAGAAACCCATCCTGCTGCATTTTAGAAGGCACTGGAAAAGGCAAAATGTACCATGTGAAATCTTTCTTTCTTTCTTTTTTTTTAAAATTTGAATCATAGCCTCTTTTTCAAATAGAAATGAAAAATCAGAAAAGGTCAAAATTACAGGTACCTTTCAGAGTAAAACTGCTAGGCCTCTAATTATAGTCAGTGAGCTAAATATTATTCCTTAGACAAAAGCTTAAAAAAAAAAAAAAAAAACCCAGCAGCAGAAAACAGCAAAATAGTGGTTTTCAGCATACCCTGTTGCCTGAAACCAGCTCATTTTAAAAATGTCTATGTCTAATAATTGCAAATGTCAACACTGTCTGCATTCAGAACTGTTTATATTCAAATAGGTAACATAAAGAGATAAACTTTAGAATTAAATTTTAATATAGTCAACCTACCAACCTAGTTGGCTCAGCTGATAAAGAAATGAAGAGGTGCTGACAAAGAAAAGCTGATCATCTCAAAATTTACTTTCTTAGGGTTTAAAATAGTCAGATGTATACCTTAACTATTTCATTTAGTTATTTAAACATTGATCTATATATCGTAAGAGGGAAACCAGGGCCTATACTGGCATGCAAAATTCACAAAGGTGTCATATATTCTTAGGTAATTAAAGGTTTCTACATTTCTTTTTTTTCAGGTGTTTGTCATAGGGTGCATGTGCTTGCCAGAGAGGAGAGAGGCAGATAGAGTGAAGTAAAGTGAGAAATTACCCCCTGGAGGTATGGTCATGCCTCCCTCTTCCTCTCTGGATTTTGGGTATACATGCACAAGTGTCTGGCAAGATTTTTCAAGCTGCCTGGTCTGGGACTTGAATTGCAGTTGGTCATGTGGGAGTCCAGTGCCTTAACCACCACATCACTGCTAGCTCCTCTACAAATCAATTTTAAGGAATAGGAAAATTTGCAAATAAAGAATCTATGAATAATGGGAACTGACTACACCAAGTGTCAAGCACAAGGCATTATTGTGCATGAACAAACCTGTAAAACTGCCATTCACACACAAAAAAATGACAAAAATGATTTTATGTAGGTACTAACAGATATTGCTTTTTAATTGGGATTTGGAAACTTGTATTCCAGTAACCAAATGCTAAGGAATATACTTCTATCATAGATTACGCTTAGGTGTGCCATAAAAGGCTGCCATGGGGAATGTCTGTGGATAGGGGATGCACATAGGACCCTGCACATACCCTTCTGATGTGTGGGGGCTCTGCATGTGTGTTTACTTGTCTACTTTACTAAGTGAATGAGGATTTGATACTGTCTGCTGCTTTGGGGCATCCCTGTGACTTGTCTATTATTAATTCAAGTATTTGAAACTTGATACCATTAATGATGATCAAATTCCCATTTATATAGTAAACATAAGATCTGCAGAATATAATCACCATTATTATCTCATTATGTATTTCTAATCATGTGTAAATTGTGGCACTTTATAAAAGTAACTATTTCTTTGGATTCAAGCACTGTAGCTAAAACAAAACAAAAGATGGCCACATTAAATGTACTTCTTGCAAAACTGGCTGATTGCTATTTAATTCATGTAAAATGGGCCATATTAAACAATAGGGTGATATCAAATCAGTAATGCACTTCGAAAAATGCCTTTTCTCCAAAATAAAAACTTTTGGTTGTAAACCAACATACTTTGTGTCTGGCTGAGAAGATAAACTTACTTTTTTTTTTTTTTTTTTTTTTTAATAACAAAACAGAAGCCATGGTTTTAACACAGAGACTGTCAATAATTTAAAGCACATAAACTTTCTGGTTGGTTCTGAAGCTATTTACAGGGACCTTGACTAGAGTATAAACCTGGATAGCATTGATGATCATCAGGTTCTGGAACACACAGCAACTGATCACCTAAAGACATCCTAGTTCTGGGATGTAAAGCTCTTTAGAGTTGCTTTTTCATAGCTCTTTTGATAATTAATGTTTATTTACACCTTTTTTTTTCCCCTCCAAATTTTGCTAGGGTGCCTGTGTTCACAGAGAAAGACAGAGAAAAGGTGAGGGATAAAGCACTCCCCAGTGGGTCATGCTCATGCCACAATCCCTTTTCTATTTGTCCTTTTACGATTTTGGTCATTCATGCACACATGCCTGGTTTTTATTTTTGTTTTGTTTTGTTTTAATTTGCAAGAGGGAACATGCATTTGCTGAAGAGAGACAGAGAGGAAAAGTGAAAAAGCATCCCTCCTGGGGGATGGCCACACTGCAAACCCTTCTCCATTTCTTCTTTGGGGATTTTGGGCATGCATGCATATGTGCCTGGCATATTTTTCCAGCTGATAAGTCTGAGACTCCAATCACTTAGCCATGTGGGATATAGTTTCCTTAACCACTAGGCCGTGGAGTCAGCCTGGTCAGCCTTGTTTTAGAAGTTCTTCTTTCTATCTGGCTAAGTTCTTTCTGCTCTCAGTGGTGGAGCACTGAGGTACTGCATCAACAGCCCTAGAAAAAGGTACTCGGCCAGCTTCTGGTATTTCCGAGTCTAAATAAACAAACTGCTTTGCTTTTCTGCACACATGTTTTTTAGCCTTTAATCACGTTGAAGAAATCCTTTCTTGGCCTCGATTTTTTCTGTGCTAACATAGAAAAGGCATCAACATCCAGGGAAAGTTCAGCATCTTCACTATATTACCCCTCCTTAAATTATTAACACTCTTGGAGCTAATCGGATGTGATTCTTTTTTTTTAAACAGTGTTTTAATTTTATTTAATTTAATTTAACTAGA